TTCCTGAGAAAGAGGTAACCTTCCTTGAGAGTAAACAATGGGACGTGTTTTCAAAGGTGGTGAAGGCTTTGAATGGATTTATAGAGAGATAAGTTTTGGCTTTTGGAATTTAAGGTGTGGGTTTAATAATCCTTCTCTTCCAGTTGAGAGTAAAAACTAAAATAAAAGATAGAGAAACCTGATTTATTGGTCTGTCTGTACTTCACAAACAAAAAATGTTAGTAGATAAATTCCCTTAAATTAATGCATTTGTAAATAATAAAAACCACATATCTATAATTTAAACCGTTATACGCATACTTTAACCCTGCTTTACGCATACTTTAACCCTGCTTTCTATGTACATGTATGTACAAGGAAGATGCAGCTAACCTTAAATAAGAAATCTCACAATCAACTGAATCCAAGTTAACTCTCAAGTCATTTCTTAAGTTTTTTCTGGTAGTTTCTGTTTTATTGTCATTTTCAACTTTTTATAAGTTCTTTCTCATTTTCTTCAAGCAAATGAGGGGATCTACACAACACTAAACCACCCAACTAAACAGCCATAGCAATTAAGGTCCTCAGTTAGACATGTTCCACTGCGAGATTCGAGCAACATTTGAGTACATTCCAATGAATACCAATCCAAGGAGGATTGAGTCAATTGCTACTAAACTTCAAAATGTGGTTTATGCCCACAAAAATTTGAATTGAAAAAATGATACCTGCAGAAAGGCTGATCATTACCCAATCAATGGTCACTTCTTATCAAGAGGTGACCATTGATTGAAGTGAAGGAGGGCACTTCTTATCAAGAGGGCATTGCAAGAAAAGAAGGGCCCATGAGCAAGCAGAAAGGTGGCGAAAATCAACATACCAAAGAGGACAGAGTAAACCAATAGAAGGAAGACCATAATAGTTAAGGAATTGTTAGATATATGAGGAGATCCAAGAGGATGTGCAGTAGTTGTAGGAGATGATGATTATGCTGATGAAGACGATAATGCCACCGATACATATGATTGCAGTGACAATGTGCTGCTTCAAACCATGGCATGAGCAACATGGCAGGGTCAAAACAAGCCTTGAGGACTTCGGGTTAGGAGAAGGCACGCATGATCCCAACCAACACACTCATTCCTAACCTAATATGGATATACGCAGGGTGAATGTGAACCCACCGAATATGGATATACACAGGGTGATGATGAATGGGTTCACATTTACCAGTATAACTTCCGGTCTCATCGTCATTCATATTAGCTTTAGATTATAACTCATTATTATTTATTATATTTTGAAAAATTGAAATGTTTATTTTTTAATTTTTTTAAAATATTCTTTTTACTATTCAATTTTGACTTGCTCGAATGAACAAGCCGGCTAAAGAATCAATGGACCAGCAACTAAGCGGGCACCGAATCCCAATTGTTTAAACAATATTTCTTTCTTTTTAGCCCATACCAACCCAAAACATCTAAAAAGAAGATCCAAATTTTAGATTTTTTTTTAAACCTTCGATGTGCAAATCCATAGCTATTCTTACTTTCAACACATGTATCACTTTTTCTTATTTCAAATCGGATAGGAAAGTAAAAGTCCGTATTTATGGTTCCAAACTTCAATTCAGTTATCCTTTCTTTGTTTTTGCTTTTAATCTTTTTGGTTTTAAGGAAAATTAAAAATTTTCTTGGCATTAATTGAAGGAAAATGTTTTGATAGGGCTGCGTGATACCAAAAATTTGTTGGAAAATACTTAAATCGATCATCTTGGCTTTGGCCCGTATGGTTGTGGAAAAAATTAGGATTTCAAGTCCTTAAAATAATGTATCTTATATAAAACATTATCTAGATTGTTCATTTCACCATAAAAATAAATGTTTACAAATCCACAAGATATGTATCATTTCTTGAGCTTCAAAGGTATTGGAAATTGATTTTAGAGTCATCATAGAGATTTTGATACCCAAAGTGCTTTTTGGACAAAGACTCGAGGTGAGGCTTTACTTTATTTTCATAAAACGTAGGCCTTATAAAAACCGCATCCTTAGTTGAAATCTCAACCCGAGTTTCAGCTCTCGATTCCTCCCCTAAGTTCAATCACTGAACCACAAGGCAGAATCAAATTGAAAACATAGTTTGATTGAAAAAAATCATTTTTTTATTTTATTTCTTTTGCTAGGAATGCTTTCCACTAATTTTAGAAAGATCCTTCAAAAGTAACCGACGACACGGATTAGGCCCTAAGATGGGTGGTCAAGCTGTTTAAAGGACACGTACATATAAACGGTTCATGTATAACATCAGTATATGGTTCACATAGAACATCAGCCTTAAACTACTAAAGGGCCACTTCCAAAACATATTAAAAGATGCACTATCAAAGCAAGACTCAGCCAAATCTTGCCAAAAAATACAGCTCCAGTCTCCAAAACCTCTTTGATGGCCCAAGAATTGCACATCTATTTATGAAATTTTAAGCGTACAGATCAAACATATCTATAAGTAATTAAAAATCTTGAAAAAAGACAATCCAGATAATATGTTAAAAGATGTACTATTTTTAAACTTATCTATTCAATGTGGAATTGGGTGGCTGCAATTATTACATTGACCAAACTCAAATTTCAAAAGAAATTTTTTTGAATTTCATGACACATCCAAGCTATCAAATTTCACATCAGATGATTGTAAGTAATTGTGACCACCTTGTATCAAAGGTAAATGATCTCATTGTATTCAATCCCATATTTACATACACACACGTGCTTGCGTGTGTATGTGCTTCCGTGCATAAAAATTTGGTGAACCATCCCGCCTATAGAACAGTTGCTAACCTAAATTGAAACATTTGACGGCCAGTAGTGGTAAAGGTATTTTGGCCAATGAGTAATTTGATAAATTTCCCAAATAAAATTAAAGATGAAACACTGTACAATATATCAACCATCCGGATATGGGAGAACATATCTTGGTCGTCAAACGTATACTATTCCGCATGCGGTCTCACAAACACATTATGCACACGCACACATGGAAAAAGACTACAAATAGTAGAGACTAACTTGTTATAGCAATTTCCATAAGCCGTCCTAATTCTAATTGATAGGTAGAGTGCATTTTATATCTCAATGTTATATTTTTGAGAGGATAGCTGGAATATTTCTCAAGAAAAAAATTTGAGGCTTTAGGTCGTAAGCCAATGCCATTTAAATTTGCTTAAGGGAATATGCAAGATCACACACCGACACGTGGAAAGAACTACTCCTAACCTGAATTGCAATTTCGGTAAAAAAAATCAATACTTTTAGACACGTGTACAGTGATCCTCATTGAGTATGCATATAATAATAATTCCTCAAAGCTCTACATGACAAGCGTCTATGCTGTAGCCCATTCCTTTTAAATTGAATGAGCAAAGAGATTCATAGTTCAAAACACAAAGGTGTGCTTTACTGTTATGTCAAATTTTTTTTATTAAAAGATTATATATGTATAGTGTAGAACTAATACTATGTGACTTCAAAAGTGCGCATTACTTTGACTGTTTAGAGCGTCGGGCTCTATACAAACTGTACCCTTCATATAAAGAGTGCAAACCGAGGCTCTAAACAATCAAAGTAAAACATACCTTCAAAGAGTGTCGCGAAATATGGTTTCAAGACTAGAAATCTTGTGATACCTTTAAAATATATTTCATCTCTAAAGCTTAAAAAATAGTGTAGATCAAACAAATATATGAAAACTTGAAAATCTTGAACATTGAAGGTCTAAAAATGCATTACAAGGTGCATTATTTCAAAAACTTAAAATCCCATATTTTCTCGTGTTCATGTATCTTGATGTTGAGATGATCAATTTGAAGATATTTGAGTATCAAAACACCCCTTCTAGTGAAATTTGAAGTGTACCCTATTTTGATTGTTTAAAGCCTCCCACTAATATAAACTTTTTCCTAATATAAAAGGTGTTGATACCATACTCAAAGCTGCTGACATCATCCGACACATACAGTCACATCAATGACAAGCACAGCTATATCAACATGTAACAAAATGTCAACACGTAGCCATATGCACTACTAATGTTACATGTCGACACGTATCCACATGCAATACTAAGACCCCTTAGGGGTGTTGAGGTAACACTATTTTTGGTTAGCCTCGCTATCGATCGATCTTTTGAACGGTAGTGGGTATTTTGTATCCTAATTTATTTGATTTTTGCTAAAAGATTTTCTACTCCCGCAAGAGTATATTAACTATTACTTCCTCATAGATATCTTTTTTGATCTCAAATTTTGAGGATGTGATATTTGAAATCCGGCAAACGACCTCAAAGAAAAATAAATTAACTCTCCTTCCCTATGTGCCTAAAAAAATATCACCCCAATATTGCACTAGAACAATCTAATTTTGGGGGAGGGAATAATTTAAATGTTTATAAACGCAAAATCTATTTTTTTTTTTTCTTTGAAAATAATCATCTACTCATATAATTAAATGGACCCCAAATTTTTTCTTTTAAAAAAAACCCTCCCAAGTTAGTTTTTTCCTGAGGGAGTAGATGTATAGTATGCTTCCAAGGGTGCCCTTTCTTGTTTAAAAAAAAATTTTGTGCCCTTTCTTTCTTTTAAAAAAAATTGGATTGTCTTGGAATTTTAAGTGTAAATGGCTACAATGAGGATGCATGGAAAATAAAAAAACGTATTTCTCATAAGAAAAACAACCAAAATACACCTAACACTTCGATGGGTATTTTGGTCAAATTTTTACAAAAAGTATTTTCTTTATCTTTTTGACAGGTGTACCCCAATCAGATTTCAAATTTCAAGTCTAAGTGTCAAAACTGATTTAAAAACTAAAATTAAAATATAAATATAAAATACTATTTTTTTTTTGAAAATCAATAAAATACTGTGTCGTCCCATCAACTTGTATCATTGTTTGGTAGCTTTTCCTTTTTGTGTGCGTGTCAAAGCCACCACAAAAAGCTGCTGAATCTCGATGTCAAGACTCTAATGCCAACCTTCTTCGTTATTCAGTAACCTAAGAGTCTAATGCCAACCTTCTTCGTTATTCAGTAACTTACCTAAATATTATTGATGATTTTCTAAAAGCGAAAAACTTTATTCCTGATTATATCGTTCAATGTTCAAGTAATCTCATTTCATAAAATCTCAAAAACTTACAGAACCGCAGGGATTGAAATCCTACTCTGGAGGCTTTGCGCAACAGCATCAATGAACTCCTCAGTATTTAAGTAGAATTCTCCCGATACCCTGCAAATCACAGCATCTCAAATGAAACAATAGCTCCTAAAATTACGTCACACCCATACAAACAATGATACCTGAATATTACAACGGACAGCTGGTAATTAATTTTTTGTGAGCTTACAATATGCTCATGTTAAACAGATAGGTAGTCTTTTTTTTTTTTGCTCATTTTTAATTCATGTAACATATAAACATGTGTAAAAACGTTTTCCCAACTTGTGATATATTTTCAGCCCCGATCTCTCTCATTCTTTCTCTCCTCTCAACTGTGGCAAAGAGCTCCAATTTCTGTTGCACGGGGAGCGGATTGTGCACCTCCTTACAAATAGATGCATTCTAGCCTAATATTTAAATCCAGTATAATTTTGAGGCCTATCCAATAAAAGGACCATCCAAAACTAACTTGCGATTTTCATTGATCTACATACTCTTGTGAACATATATAAGAATATCATCATCATTTTAGCCTTTTTTCAATTAATTGAGGTCGGTTACATGCATCCTGATTCTCTATTTTGCTCAATTAAAAACCATATCCTTAATGAGGCCATAAATCTCCATATCTTTTCGGACTACTTCAATAGAGAGAGAAAAAGAGAGAGAGAGAGAGAGAGAGAGAGAGAGAGAGAACTAGCTCACTTTGGTCCATGACTTAAAAGGGCGAGATCCTTTGTCATTTTTCCTGACTCCACAGTTTCTATACACGCAGCCTCCAACTTGTGTGCAAATCCCAACAGCCTATCGTTTTTGTCAAGCTTCGCTCTGTCCACACAATTTACCAAAATGAAAATTCTTTAACAATTGCAAATTTTAGAATGAACTAATATCGCATCAACAAACTTAAATCAAGACCAGTCAAGGATACAAACAGTCAAAAGCCTTTGAAGATGCCCCATTCAGAATTTAAAACTCCTGCTGAACTAGAACAGAACCCAAGTTTCTAAAACTCAATAACTCATTGACTTAGGCTTCCCCCTCACCACCTTGGAACCCTACTCACCAGAATCTTTAGATTCTTTTTTCTTTCCCTTTAAGAATTGTTTGTTTTGTAATAAAATAAATTTATGATTTGAGCTCATACTTCAAACTCACAGAAGCATCAAAAGAAGATACAGCGCGGTACGAGCAGCCAAAAGAAATCACTCAAAGAAGAAAAATGCAAAACTATCCTTGGTGGGAGTTGCTCATCACCAAGATAGCAAAATTCAGCTCAAGTATGAAATTTTCACTACATAATCCCACAGCCATCACTACGAAATTTTAGGCTTGTTCTATAGATAGTAACCATTCTTTTTTTTTTTTGACTCAATCGAGTGCACATACCAGTCATACAGTTCTTTAAGCATAACAACTTTACAGTAGAACTCAGCCAATAACATTTCTCATTAGTCAGTTTGTCAGGTTAACCAGACTTGCAGGCTTTTTTCCTTTTATTGTTGTTATATACTAATAAAAAATATAAATAAAATTATAAAACTATCAATTACCACATTCCAGTTTGAGTTAGAAAGTCGAAGTTTATAAATACCACGATGGTACCAGCAGCACATGAAATTATGGGAAGACAATAGATACGTAATCTTCAAAAAAATGTGTAGAAGAAAACAAACTACTAAACTAAATATATACAAAATCAAACAAAAAACAGCATACTGTAGGAATTTGCATATGTCTGGCTCATATTTCATAAGTAGAGATCATGCATATTTCTACTATTTTTTATTAGAAAAAGTGATGCAATTGCTGAAATCACAAGAAAGTTAGGTATTTCCGCTGCTTCTAGGAAAGACTGCTGAAAATTTCGCATGAAAATACTGAAAATATCAAGCAAGAGGAATTTAGAGAGTTTACTATTGAAGTGCACAAAATATTTTTCAATGCAAAGACCACTACAAGCTAAATAAATTAAAAAAAAAAAAGAAAAAAATGAAAGAAGTTATTGGTTCCTGCTGTTTAGATACACAGAAAAATTAATTCTCCATAAGATACAAAAGATATAGAGATGAAAGCCATGGATATCAGAAATAACCTGTGCTCAAGGCCTCGGGTCCAAGCAAATATAGAAGCAATACTGTTTGTGCTGGTTTCTTGTCCTCTCTGGTGCAACCGAAAGTGCCGTGTCACTGTTCCATGAGCAGCCTCAGCCTCTAATGTCTTCCCATCAGATGATACCTAAACAAAGAGAAAATCATTACTAGAGGCTTTATTTACGTCATTAGCTCCTCACCGATTAATGTATCACACATTCATAGATGCATTCAAAAACACACATATGTTGTTACTCTATAGTTAAATTTACTTGCTATTAACTTATTATTTTATTTTAAAACCAATGAAGTCAATAACACAAGAAACCTTAGATTAATGGGTATTTGATTACCAGCACAGATGTCATCAGTCCAAGAGAACCAAAACCTGCAAAAGATTTGGAAAGGAAGTGAATTATGTGAGATCTTTCCTTAAACGGTATATGTGTTATAGAAATACATATTGAAGTAAATGCAAAATTATGGACAGAAATAACAGCTATACCAGCTACTCTTTGAACCTTTGAAAATACCTTCTACATTCATCTGTGTCTGACAATGTTGGACTCACCGCAGAAGAGTATACCCTTGCTTATCTCTAGTTCTTTTATTATTCAATTATAAATCCACATCACTCACTATTACCTCTCATCAATAAAAAGGATGAAATTCTCCGAACAAGAATGAAATGTGACCCATTTATACAAGGGAAAAGTTTATACAGAGCCGAGGCTCTAAACAATCAAATTAGAGCCAACCTAAAAAATTTCATTAGAAGAGGATGTTTTGATGCCCAAATATCCTCAAATTGATCATCTCGACATCAAGATACATGGGCATGAGAAAAAGAAATGGACTTCAAGTTTTGGAAATAGTGTATTTTGTAACTCATTTTTGGACCGTCAATTTTCAAGATTTTCAAGTTTTCATAGATATGTCGATCTACATTATTTTTTATGCTATAAACTTTATAAACAAAAATGAAAATATATTTTAAGGTTATTACAAATATTTCTAGTATTGACACCGCATTTCTGGACACTATTTGAAGGTAGATTCTAATTTGATTGTTTAGAGCCTAGGCTCTATACAAACCACGCCCTTTATACAATATATACATAAATAGCTTGAGCTTGGTTACTGATGGAGGGAAACATTATACTTATTTTTAATTCCTATTCAATTTTAAAGGATTTATATTTTGATTTTAGTTTTAGAGTTTAATTCTAGGGTTTTTAGTTTCCAAGAATTCTAGGGATTTTTTAGATATTTTAATTAAAGTTAGGGAGTGTAGTTTCAAGTCATACTTAAGTTGGGACTTTTGTGTCAAAAGTTAATTGTATGGACAAATATTGTCCAAAACAATAAATTTTCAATATAAATAAGTGCATGGATGGGCTGGACGGTCATTCATGTATTCCTCTTTAAAAAAAGAAAGACTATAAAGGGAAGACCCCATGTATAGTCGAAGCGTCTAAGGCCTTCAAGAAGAGCTCTCGCTTCAGCCTCTGTGCAGTCAGCTCTACCAATTGATAAGGAATAGGACAGAAGGGTGAGCCCCTGAGAATCCCGAAAGACTCCTATGCCTACTGGACCCTGGTTGCCCATTGAGGACCCGTCGAAGTTGAGTTTGATATTGCCTCTCTCCGGAGGTCTCCATAACGCCGACCAAGGCAGCTTCCTAGCTCTGAGTTGAGAATGTGGACCCAATTAGCAAGAAAGTCGAACGCAATTGGAGACCTAGAAGATGTATGGTTTCAATCAACTTATGAAGGGGTGCAATCTTGCCCTGAAAGATGCGGTTGTTACATTCCTTCCATATGGTCAAGAGGGTAGCGCCAACCATTGCTTTCCAAAGAAGAGCTCCAGCACATGGCTAAGGGAGGAACGTCGAAAGAGTGATGAGGTTGGGCACACTCTGAGGAGTCACGCATAACCAAGTGAAGAAGGCGAGGTTAAAACTCCAGATGATTGCTGCTATGGGGCAATGGATAAAGAGATGGACGTTTGTTTCCTCTACCTCTAAACACATCACACAATGGTTAGGCAAAGGGAGCCCTCTAGCTTGAAGTATGTCAACCGTAAGAACTCTAGCCCATGAGGCCAACCAAAAAAAGAACTGGATTCTAGAGGGGATAACCGTTACTCTAGGAGTAGCCGGGTGGCAGGGGTGCCCAAAGTGGGTAGCGAAATATCTTGAAAAAGGGAACCCACCAAGAAGGTCTCGGAAGAGGAGGCTGACCACAAAATAGGGTCTTCCCCTCGCAAGAGAGGAGGAGAAGAGGCTAAGAGGAGAGACAGCTCTAAGAAGGCGGGGGTACTCAGCATCCTACAACGAGTGATGAAGGTCAGGATTCTAGATTCTCGGCCTGTTCTCCAAGGGGAAAAGAGAGAGGATAAAGGTAGAGGGATTGCTAGCCAGACGAAAAAGAGTGGGGAAAACAACCGAGAGGGGAGACAGGACGAGCCAAGGGTCAAGCCAGAAGCGAATTCTAGACTCGTCCCTTGGGTGGAACCGAATGTGAGCGGTGAAAATGAGCAGGGAGTGGAAGATGGATTTCAGAACCTCGAAACACAATGGTGTAAAGTAGCTGGGATAAACCATTGAGAAGCCGAAAGACAGTATTTAGAGGCAAGAATGTGATGCCAGAGGTGGTCACCCTGCAAGGACAACTTCCACCACCATTTGCAGAGAAGTGCAAGATTGGTGGCTTTCAAACTCTGGATCCCAAGACCCCCAAGGGCTTTGGAAGGCAAACCTTCTTCCATGCTAGAAGGTGGAATCTCTTGGGGGATCCGTCTTCCGACCACAAGAAGTTCAGCATCAATCGTTTCAAACGCTTGCCAACCGAGGCTGGAAGATGGAACAGAGACATGAGGTAAACAGGGACCCAAGATAGGACAGCCTTGATAAGAGTGAATCTCCCTACTAGGTGAAAGAAATCTCCCTTTCCAAGAGGCTCACTTTTTCTCCACTTTGTCAATGACATGGCCCCCACTAACATTTGCGAGGTTTTCCTAAACACATAGACAAGCCAAGATAGATCGTGGGTACAGCTTCAATTCTACAACCCCAGTCGTCCGCGAAGGCTTGAAGGGTGACTGGGTCGACTGAAATCCCCACCATCTTGGATTTGCTAAGGTTGACCATGAAGCCTGTAGCAAAATGAAAGCAATGAAGATAGACAAGAAGGTTGTTCACATGGGTGAAGGATACATCACAAAAGAGCAAGGTGTTGTTGGCGTACTGGAGACGAGTTACGGTAGGGGCTTGGGCTCCTACCCTGAAACTAGAGACAAGGCCTGCTTGGTACAGTTTGTATGTGGATCTGTTGAATACCTCTGCTGCTATGGCAAAGACAGAGGGTCCCCCTGTCTGAGGCCCCTATGTGACTTAAAGAAGCCTTGAGGTGAGCCGTTGATGAGAATAGAGAAATAAGGGCCTCATACACATCCCCGGATCCATTTCCTCCAACATGCCCCTAAACCCATGCTAGTTTTGGTTTCTTCTAAAAGGTCCCAGTCTACGTCATCGTAAGCCTTCTCCCAATCAAGTTTTATGATCAGGCCTGGGGTTTTGGTGACAAACCAAGAGTGAAGGCATTCGTGGGTGATCAAGGCCCCATCGAGGATCTGCCGATCCTTCAGGAAAGCACTTTGATTGGTAGAAATGAAAGAGCCCAAGGCATGTTTGAGGCAGGTCGCGAGGACCTTAGGCAGGATTTTGTATGAGGTGTTGATCAGGCTTGTAGGCCTTAAGTCCTTGAGTTCCGATGCCCCTTCGATCTTAGATATAAGGGCAATGAAGGTGGCATTCATGTCCTTATTGATAATACCCCTCTCGTGAAACTCAATGAAGAAGGCCAGAAAGTCCAGCGGAAAATGTCCCAGTAACAGTTGAAAAGGGCCACTTGAAAGCCATTTGGGCCAAGGCCCCTACCCTGGCCTAACTCTTTGATGGCCTGAAGGATTTCGGACTCGTCGAAGTTCCTTTCAAGCCAGGCAGCCTGGGGGGCAGAAAGAGAGGACAAAGAGAGGTCATCCATGATGGGGGCAGGTCTGTGAGGAGCACAGAACAAATGTTGAAAGTACTCGAGGATGGTACTAGCAATGGTAGAGGGTCATCAAAGGTAACACCCTGATGAGAGATGAGAACAATGGAGTTGTCTGGTCTACTGCAATTAGCAATTTTATGAAAATACGTTGTGTTGAAATCTCCGCAATTCAGCCACTTGCAACGAGATCTTTGTGCCCAGTAAAGCTCTTGTTTTCGGAGGACTTGGAGATCAAACTTCAATTGGAATCGGGAGGTTCCTTCGTCAGGTGTGAGGGTGCGAGAATCCTCAAGGAGATCCAAGTCGTGGATGAAGGCAAGAATAAAGGTCTTAAGGGCTGGGAAATTCCATGGCAGATTGGCTCGCCAAAAATTTACGGATGATTTGAGTAGTGAGAGTTTCTTCTGGAGTTTGAACCTTGCCAAGCCCAGGGCTAGGGGGGAATAAGATGTCTACCAACTGGCCAAGCAGGATTTGAAGTTTGGTTCCTCAGCCCAGAGTAGTTCAAAGCGGAAGGGTCTGGGACCACTGGAGAATGGATAATAGTCCAAGAGAATGGGTTTGTGGTCAGAGATAGTCCAGGGGAGAGCAGAAGAGATAGAGCCAGGAAATGAGGCATCCCAATCCAGTGAGCACAGGAACCTATCCAACTTGGATCGGGAGGCAAAATTTGACCAGGTGAACATCACCCCCCTGGAGTGGGATTTCGATAAGTTCATGTCCGCTGATGAAGTCAACAAACCAAAGCATGGCGGGCGTGATAGAGGAAGAATAGCTTCGTTCGTGGGACCATCTGGTGACGTTGAAGTCGCCACCAATGCATCATGAGATGGGGGGAGGGCGGCGGCGGTAGCGTAGCCAGTTCCCCCCACAATGCCGACTGGTCAGCATTGGGGCCGTAGACTGCCGAGAACTTCCAAGGAAGATGGTCGGAGATGCGAGTCACGAAGACTGTCATCGAGTGTGCGGTGCTCCAAGCATGAGTCAAGGAGGAGAAGGTCAGGTCTCAGACAACCCAAATTCCTCCGAAGGTGCCTAAAGCCGGCAGGGCCTTCACCCCCACGCCCTCCTAACCAAGAGAAGGGTAGGCTCAAGTTGCTGGGTTTCAAAAAGAACCAGTAAGGCCAAGGAGTGTTTGGAACAGAAGTCCCGCATAGCTTGGTTCTTTTGAGGGAACAAAGAGCATAGGTATTTTTGGTATACCATTTTTTACATGTATCTTTCTTTTAGAGGAAGAAAACCAGGAATGGCTTCAAAGGAAGAAGCTCCTTGCCCCTCTGGCCATCCCTCCGCCTTTGTCCACTCTCCTCCTCTGTACCGCTGTTATGCTCAC